AAAAAAAAACTCTACTTGTTTCTGGTTACTGTATATTCTTAAAAAACAAAAGAACAGAGCTGCAACTTATTCTTTAAGCCAAAATGTTGAGACCTAATAGGAGGGTCAACTCTTTTTTTTTTGGTACCGGGGATCAAACTCAGGTCCTTCTGCTTGTGAGGCAGGCAGCAGAACCACTGAGCTAAATCCCCGGCCCACGGAGATTCTACTATCATTTATATTCCCTTGACATCTCTTTTGTAGGTCTTTAAAGGCACAAAAGCTAATTAGACCATACAAATACTGTTTCTATTTTATTCTGATTTACATCCTAGCTCTTTCAAATTTAATTTTTTTTTCTGCCTTCCTCTTTCTCTTTCCAAGTATTAACCAGGCCCGACCATGCTTTGCTTCCGAGATCAGACGAGACCGGGCGCGTTCAGGTTGGTGTGGCCATACACTCTGCCTTCCTCTTCTGTACCAAAAAATTACTTTTGAAAATTCACCTGAATGTGAACTATACTTAAAGAGGCAGAAATGTTAACGTATTTTATCCATTGCTGTATCTTGAAAACCTAAAACAGTGTCTGACACATTAAATATTTATGACATTCTAGCTCTTTAAAAAAAACACAATTAAAACTACTCTCTTAGCAAAGTGTTACCTGATTGAAATGGTCTGTTATTTTCCTTTTCTTCACACAGGTAGATATGTTGCAATGGTCTTTTCCCACCTTTGTTAGGAGTGAAGAGTTTATTATTTTCACTGTTTGATGGTTCCAACATACTACTGTTTCCTGATGCTTGCTCTTGTTTGTCACGCAGTACTTTTTCTTTCATTCTCTGAAATATTTTTCCTGGTGATTCATAGGCTGCTTTATTTTTTAATCCACTGTTATTGGGCTTTATAGCACTGATATCAAGATAACTATTAGAGGTGGCAGGCTCTGTTAGCATGGTAGATTGAAATACATTTTTATTGTTAGAAGTTGTCATTTCTAGAAACTGATTCTTTTTATGGTCATTCAGTTTTAAAGAAGACTTCTGATATTTTACCAAATCTTTTACAGGAGTAAGTGTGCCTGCAGGAATGTTGTCAAAAAAGATTGCATCCATGGGCATATTTCTTGTTTGAGAAGATGTCTCTGAAGATAGGTGAATTCTTGGATATTTCAAAGGTGTTGCAATCATCTTGATAAGCCAGTAGTAACAAAATTCCTCTAACAGAAAATTCAAATTTCAGGATAGAACTTCAGCAGGACCCAGAGAAACCTGTAATTCAATTTGAAATCAATCTTTACCATGCTATGGTGCAGAAAAAGTTCAGTTTATTTGCTTTCTGTAACAACATTATACTAATTGAAAAGTTTAATTAGTTCATAACAACAATGGATAATCTAAAATTCACAAATCAGACTAGGATTTTAGTTTTATGTCCAAGTCTTATTTTTATTTTTATTTATTTTTTTGGTACTGGGGATCGAACGCAGGACCTTGGGTTTGAGAGGCAGGTACGGTGCCCCTGAGCTAAATCCCCAGCCCAAGTCTTATTTTTATTATTTTAATTTTTTTTGGTACCGGGTCCTTGCACTTGCAAGGCAGGCCACCGAACCACTGAGCTAAATCCCCGGCCCCTTATTTTTATTATTTTTAAATAGACGAGCCATTTGGTCTTTAAATTTACTTCTTTACAAAAAGCATCATTCACTCAATTTTAAGGCAGGAGTGACAATGATCTATCCTGCTGTCATTTCTAGAAACTGATTCTAGAAACAGCTCAATGATCCATTCAATTATTTAAATAATATCTAACCCTGATTTTATTATGCTCTAGAACATTTATATTGTTTTTATTTGAAAATCTTCAAATAAAAAATTAATCATAATAGTATTATTTTTAAAAAAGTTTTTAGGTACTGGGGGTCATACTCAGGACCTTGTGCTTGAGAGGCAGGTGGTGACACCATTGAGCTAAATCCTTGGCCCCAAAATTGTTTTAATATATAATGCTATTTAGAGACTTTAATTTCTTACATGTAAATTTTATTTCTCATAGCTAGTAATTAGAATTGTTGCATTAAGTAATTCTTGGAAAATAAAGTATTTCAATCCAAGAGACCTGGAACTTACTAGTCAAGATTTGTAGCAACTTTTATTAATGAATTTATAACTTTGCAAATATTTTTTGATATTACTTAAACATCAAAATCCTACCACAAAAATACTAATACAGTCAGATGAAAAGACATGAAGTATCTTTATCTGCAGTAACTTCTGTGAAAAATAGCCAACTTAAAAATTCAGATCCAAAGTACTATTTTATCCAATAATTTAGGATTGTAAGGGGGGGGATATTCTTCAATAACCATAGTTGACAAAGAGGGATAAAAGTGTGACCAACTCTGGGACTGGAAAACTACTGTAATTCTACAAATTCTTCTCCAAATATATATGCAGTATTGATAACCAGTATTTACTAAATAATACCTAGTACATACTGGCCACTATAAAATCTTACTGCAACCCTTAAGATTTAAGTAGTATTATTGCTTCCAGTTTGAAGACAAGGAAATAAAGGTATAGACTGGTGAAGTAAAGTGCCACCTTTAACAGCCAGAAAGGGTAGGAATCAAGTCCACCCTCAAAACACAAGTTCTTTAACAACAGGCAGCGTAATCTACTACTACACAGAAGTTCACTGCAGTACTGGGGAAATTAGAAGACAACCTAGATGTCCACCGATAAGTGACAAAATAAATCAATAAATTCTGCTACATTTATAAAACTGAATTTTATGTCTTCAACAAAAAGACATAGAGATACTGACATGCAAAGTTCCCCAGGAAAATTAAATGTAAAAAGGAAGCAGAAAGCTGGGCCTGGTGGCACTCCTCTGTAATCTCAGCACTTTGGGAAGCACAGGTAGAAGGATCCTAAATTCGGCCCAGCCTAGGCAATTTAGTGATTTTGTCTCAAAACGTAAAAGGGGGAGAGCTGAGGATGTAGCTCAGTGTGAAAGCTCTGGGTTCAAGCACCAGTATACACCTCATCCCCAAAGACGTACAGTTGCATCCAAGACCTGTCATGTAAAGGTACAAGATCCCAGTAATGAATGTAACTGTATTTATACCTAGAATGTACCAAAAAACTCATAAAAAGGAAATAAATAAATAAACATGGGGGAAAATCTGGAAGACAGTGCATCAAATTGTACAATGTTTAGCTATGAAAGGTAGGGCGAAAAGGCTTTCTTTCCATTGTAATTTCATTAACACCTACAACTTCTTGCAACCAGAATGTAAGCTTTAATCAGAAGAAAACATAAACCAGAGAGAGGCGTTGGGAAGGGGCCTTCCATTTTATAAACAATTTTGGTTACTACCTAAAAATCTTTGCAACCAGCATGTACGTAGTGTAATCAGAGCAAGACATAAACTGGACACAGCTATTGTTTTATTTTCCTGAGTCGTGGGTCCCTAGGAGAAGAGCTGGGCACTGGGGCAATTTCCTGACAATCATTTTAACCTAAGAATCCCGCCCCGCGCCCCCGCTAGAACTGATTTTAGAGAGAAAGGACCCAGTTCACTCACCATCCAAGAGTCAGTGTTTTATTCTCTAGACAACCGCAGCAGGCCCGCAAGTTGAGCACTTAGGAAACGACTGTTGAGGGAGGAGCTGTGGGAAAGTCCTGG